CCACCCCCCCCCCTCTATTTGTGGGTTTAAAATTCTATAATAATGTGCAGTATTTAGGTCTTGTGTGATGACAATTAATTTAAATGGTTAACTTGTCTGTTTTAGAAACGAGTAGTTAATGTGTATCGGCTGATTACAAGAGGAACACTGGAGGAGAAGATTATGGGTCTGCAGAAGTTCAAGATGAGCATCGCTAACACCGTGATAAGTCAGGAAAATGCCAGTCTGCAGAGTATGGGGACCGACCAGCTGCTTGACCTGTTCACTCTGGATAAGGTACAGTCTATGTTGGGGAACTTTGGTAGATGGAGTTGACCCAATTTGTAGAACAATTGACTTTAACTGGACTGGCTAAGATAAGTGGTAGTTATACATAAAACTAAGTAATTGTGTTTTTATATCTTTTTTTTTTTTTGCATGATTTAAAACATGTAAAGTTTAAATGTTTCATATTGCACAGGCTCCTATAGAAATCTAGAAAATGGAGAGGTGTAAACTAATGTTTGTGCATCATTTCAACACCACATTCTTGCACATACGCTATGTTATCTTGCACATGCTAGTCAGACGGCTCCCACTTCTCCTGATTTTTAGCTATGGTGGGGAAGCTGAAAAGCATAGCAGTCATGAAAGGCCCCGTGGAGAAGCCTGCTAGAGAACACCAAGAACTAAACATGGATGAATTGTCAGGTTTTGGGAATAGTCTTTCATTGTGATTGGTTTATAGAGTAAAGTTCAGAAATCAGTAACCTGGAAATCCGAGTATTTGGAAACTCTGCTTTTCATCTGCTCTCCTCTGAAAACGTTGCCATTCAACTTGAAAGTACAAGTAGTCGGTGGTTCACATTAGGTCTGTATGGGTCTGCCCTTGGCCTGAGATTTTCTAGCTTAGACAGATGTTCTTTTGTTTTTTTTATATATAAGATTTTATTACGATTTTTCAATACAAAAGTACAAAGTGCAATCGCGTCCAAATATCAATACAGAATCTCGGGATGCATTTACATGTCCTCACTGTCCAGATATACATATAGCAGATATGTATACATGAGTGCCTGCCATCCAGTAGTCACGTTGGCAGCGGTGTTAGACATCAAGGCATCATCACATTGTGAGGAGCAGTAGCTGTAATTCGGGTACTATACATTCCCTACTGAAGGCATAGTGTGAGGTGATCTGGCCGTGTTGCATCCTGTCGGACTGGACAACATTAAACGTAGGGAGGAGGGGGTAAAAAGTATACACACAACTCAAGACTGGGTAGGAGAGACATAAGGGGGTGAACAGGAAGGGAGAAACAAAAGGGAGGGAAGGCTCCGTCGGATCCCACAACTCGGATAATGCCACTGTGAAATGAAACTATTTTATATTAGCGGCAGTGCATCAGTCCCCCTCCCCACTAGGAGAGACCCCCAGCTCATTACAGGGCCAGGAAAGCTGCTGTACCCATATACAAAATCCAGGGGGCCCATAAGACAGGCACATTTGGCCTGACGTTCATGCAGAGAGGCCGTCAGTTCTTAAAGGCGCATAATCAGACTAGACAGATGTTCTGAGTGGTTGACCCACCTGTGTGTGGGGACAGGTAGGTTTACTTCCCTCCCAGTTTACTTTGCTTGAAGAGGATTCTTACTACTCCAATAAAATGGTACCATTACAGATCCATTATGTCTAAATGAATTTCTGTAGCTCTCCTTTTCACTTCATGGTTAAAATCGCCACTTATCCTGGCAGTGGACCAGGTTGGCCCCTGCCAGAATTAATTACCAGTGGACCAGGTTCTTAACACTGAAGGTTATTATTATTATACAGGATTTAAATACACTAACAATTTGTGCAGCGCTTTACAATATAAGGAAGATATTACAATACAATCACAAGACAAACTGTTAAGGAGGGCCCTGCCCATGAGGGCTTGCAATCTAAAAGGGAGGGGGAAGTGATACATGAGGGGGGGGGGTGAGAATTGTTTGGTTTAAAAGGAGCCTGTAAGAAATGGGGGAGCTGCCGTTGCTTGCCTGGTGAGTTACTGAACCAAGGCAGTTGCTTGTTCTGGGCCAGGTGTTCCACTAGGTGATACAGCAAGGATAAGGATAAAAAAAAAGCAAAGAGAATTTTAAACCAAAAGAATGCACACTTCAAGTTATGCATCTAAAAAGGGAACCAGTGGCAGCCCCTCATTTCTGACAGATTTGCTTTACATTGGAAGTGGTCATTAACCTTGCTGTAGCCAAGGTCGGGATGGCTGTGGTCATTAACCTTGCTGTAGCCAAGGTCGGGGTGGCTGTGGTCATTAACCTTGCTGTAGCCAAGGTCGGGGTGGCTGTAAGTGCCACACAATGCTGCCTGCTTGTGGAATGTGCATTGTGATCTAACCGGATCTCTGTTTCCCAGGATGGAAGGCGTGAGAAGATGGAGACCTCTGAAGCCAGTGGAAAGACTTCGATGAAATCCGTCCTGGACAACCTGGGAGAACTGTGGAACCAGGAGCAGTACGACTCAGAATTCAGCTTGGACACTTTTATGACTTCTCTCAAATAACTGCCGCCGCTGCAGCTGCTCAATTGCCCTCCTTTTTTTTCCCCCTTTTTTTGTTTTTTGCTGATATTCAGCAGGAGCTGAGACGGTACCATCAATAAGATTTTGCAAGATGGATTGACATCTAGGTGGAATCTAGACCGGCTCGGGAGAGAATGTGTCAGTCTTAAAGATGCCATGGATTTGGAGAGGACTTGAATCCTCTGCTATATACTGGTGCGTCGTCCTTCAGCTGGAAAACAAAATCAAAGTTGGATTTTATGCACTGCCAGCTGCTATTTCTAACATTGTAGAGTATTTTTCTTCTGAGGAACTGGTTGATGAAATGTTTTTATTTGACCTGTAAAATGCACAAGGTCTTGGAGCTTACATGCCCATCCCGGGACTGTGTGCGGCCGCCATTACTGGTTTCATGGCCGGCGTTGCACCAAGCAGCTGATTAGCAGTAAGGCTATGTGCACTCGGATGTTGGAAAGACTGCTATCTGCAGCATATTTCACTGAGGCTTGATCCTTTATTTGCTCAGTCTTTAATCTGTTTTAATCCTATTTTTAAGCAATATTTGCAGTTTTATTCAGTCCTTATTTTTTTTTTTTTTGTTCAGACATTTTTCTAGCTGCTTTTTCAGCAGTCATTGCACATAGGGAAAGAAACTGATTGACAATGGAATGGAACCTGCGTTTTTCTATCAGCCTCCTAATGACTTCATGATGCAAAGAGTAAAAAACAGCCAGAGATAATACCATCATCCGGTTTTATTTTTTTGAAATGGGAAAGTAAACAGGAAAAAGGCAATGCAGACTGGTAGGCGTGAGTAGGTCTGTGTGCTGCTGCAGTGGGATTAAACATGGCTGAGACTGAGGACGTCCTTGTGCACATACCCTAAACTAAAGCCACATTTTAGGCATTCGGTTTGAGGCCCTTAGTTGCTGTTGAGAATGTGGCTCCAATTTTTTTTTTTTTCTTTGAACTTCATGAAGCCACATGATTCTGTTGTGGGTCTGGGCTGGGCATTTACAGACCAACATCAAACTTAGGCAGCTTGTTGTCCTCAGTTTTGCTGGGATTGCAGTTTCTGCAAGAGGCATCACTGAAGGGCAACAAGTTGGCCAAGCCTGGTGTATAAGGTAACATCAGGGTTATAGGGCTTATATGGGGCTTTCTATAGCCTCCAGAGCCTCATGTATAACAATTGTCTGAAAGGAAAGCACTTGTTTTGTCCACAGCAGTCAGATTACAACTGCTCTTGCTATAGTCCCACGAAAGACCACGCCGTTCGTTTTAAATCTCAAACCGAAGTCGTGCCTGTAAAGGACAGTGCTGGCTGCTCCACCATTACCAGCTGCTACCTGCAGAGATGCTGGTTGGAATACTGCAGATAATGTCAGGTGTCTTCATCACTGCATGCTGTGGTTCCTTCCACTGCTTTTACGTCACTACAGGACATGGTAGTGACTTTGGGACCAGTGAAAGGAGCCAAGCTCTCGTAGATGAACCAGTAATCTAACAGTCCTGGAAGTGTCGGTTGCAGAAGACTCTTTGGTTGGCGTAGCTCCTGGGAATGGTGCGTATCTGTGGTGGGAGAGAAGTATTAACCCTCTTGGCAGGCACGGCATTGGATTGACATGTCAAACTAGCATGGAGTCTCTTTGGGTTTACCTTGCTCTGTGGATTGCAAGTGATGACAGTTTAGAGGAAATCTTGTGATAATCAGATAACATAGGACCCAACGGGGGCCAAGCTACGCAGGTCATTTAATTTCTTGACACCAACTGTCAATGATTTCTTGCTAGCAATTGTACCATGAATGAGCTACCCAATCTTTCCTCTGTAGATCAAACCTAATGGGGTGGCTGCTTGTAAGTCGTCATATCTCTGAATGGCAGGAGGACATAATTATACTCCTTAGTGCTGGGCTACAAAGGCAATGTTCACTTAGCCCAATTGTGCCCCATTGAACCTCTAGTGACATGCAGGGGAATTATTGTATGTGGTGATTTATGTACATGGAGTAAAAGGTTTACTTGGCTCAGTGAAACTTGTTAGCGGCTGGATTACCCAGTGAAGGAGAACTGGACCATCAAGCTGTTCTGGTCACATCTCAAGTATTGATCACAAGAAGATTTAGTACACAAAGTTCCTTTAGGCTGAATTGTGATTGGAGATTGGACTATTAATGGGACGATCTGTTCATTAATGGCAAAGCTTTTCCTTTCAGAGTTTTCTACACTTGAGGTCTGTTAACAGGTCACGGATGATCTGTTCACAAGGCCATGCTTTCATATGAGACGAGGCAGATGAGTTTCCCAGGTTTTAACAGACTGGCTCTTGCACACAAATATTTAGGAGAGCGGGTTCCTTCCCTGTGTATCTTGTAGCTTTTGTTGTATACATTGGATAACCCTCCGCCTTTATATTTGTCAATACCTTTTGGTGGGAGTTTGAGTGTTTGGCGAAAGCGAGTGGATTGTTGCACACGTAAGTATAAAAGGAAGAATTAAATGTTAAATAACACATGACCTTCTCTATGTAAGATACCGGAAATGAGGAAATAGTGTAACCTTTATGGAAAAGAGCTTTTGTCACAACTTTTACCAGTGGCATGATGTAATGAATTACCATTCCATTTAAAACTTTGAGAATAAAAAAAAAATCTCTTACTTTTCTTGTCTGTCATGTTCTGCGGAAGCCGTAAATGGACTTGTGGTCATGGGAGCGTTTGTCTATCTAAAGTGTTGATATGAAACTTGTACATGTGATGCATCAGTATCAATTAATATCACATAGATTTCCTGCACAGATCACTCGCTCATTCCAGCCTATGAGATCTTAATTACAACATGGATTCCTTGTGTCCTCTATAAAGGTGCCGAGTGACTGTCCTGCATCACTTTGCAGGATCCAGTTGTCTTTTTACCACCGGGCTATAAAAACTTTCTTCAAATATGACATGTCCAAGATCTGGCAAGAGAACACAATTTAGGTAATTGTTGGAATTTGCACTCTATTTCACCTTACATGGAAGTGTCATAAGTTCTTGCTAGGCACAAAAGTTTTTTCACACGGTAAATGTCTGCAACGTATCATCATGTGTGCTGTGCCCAGTGGTGTATTCTGGTTTGGGGCTGCCCTAGGCAAGACTAAACTTGGGCCCCCCCCCCCAGGATATCAGGGGGGTTGTGCAGGTTCTGTGGTGGGCCCTGCCATAGACCCCGCAGAGCCACCACCGCAGAGCCCACCACAGATCCTGCACAGCCCCCCTGAGACCCTGCAGGATCTGTGAGGGGTTTGGCAGGGTCTTGGG